AGATAGATAGATAGATAGATAGATAGATAGATAGATAGATAGATAGACAGACAGACAGACAGACAGACAAATAGAGGATCAGAACAGGAAGGAAACCTGTTGTGTAGACCACCAGCCCTCAGGAGACCTGGGTTGTAAATCCTCCTTCCTGATGCCCTGGGCACAGAACTGGGTCTCTGGGTCTCAGTTCTGTCTTGTATTGCAAAAAGGGCAGGAGGCAGGCAACTGTTGTCTTGCAGGTTAATTAGTATCTTAGAGGCTGAGGAGGGAATGCAGATTTTAGAAAAGTGTGGCCAGGTGGGTTTTTCTTGCTACCCCCAAATGGGCAGAGAACCAAGAAAGAGGGAATGCATGTGTCTTTTTTGCTGGCTGGGCTTGTAATAGGAGTTCTGACAAAGGACTGTCCTTCAGTTCCAGTTCCCAGGACTAGTCCCCAGCCCAGCCTAGCCTAGAAAAAGGGAAACCTCAGTCTCAGGAACCCGCTCTGTAGCCAGGTGTTACTGGAATTTACAATGTACCTAGGCTATCTTTGAATTCATAGTGATTCACCTGCTTCAGTCTTCCAAGTGCTGGAAGGAACAGGTCTGAGTTTCTCTGGCCTTTGTTTAAAGATATGAAGAATGCTTCTGTGTCAAATTGTGACTCCATAGCCATGGCCTGAGTTAGCCCTGTGCTAGACACTGCATCCCAGTGCTCTTGTCTTGGAGGAGGTTCCTTCTCCAACTTCATGGGGAGCTGGAAACCAAGCCATTTGAGCACAGGGAGCTGAGACTGGGATGGAAGTACTTTAGAATCTATATAGCTTCCAACAAAAGAAACTGAGCCAGCTTGGAGATCAGGGAAGGCAATAGACTGACCAGAAGCCAAGGCATATAGGATCACAATGAACTTGCGGCCGGCTCCTGGTGGATGCTGGCAGGCAGGCTGTCAAGGGACATGGAGGGGACAGGTAGACCTGGACTGGGAGCCACAGGAGACACTAAGACTGACAAGAGATGGTCCCCCAGCTTCCTGCAGGAGGAAGGCTCGGTTTGCCAGAATGCCTTTGGAAAACAGCTTGCCTCACTCAGTTGAGAGCCGTGGCCCTAAACTTCCCAAACTGAACGCTACTACAGTCCCCAGGTGCTTGGAGCTCAGACTAACAGTGGCCACCAGCACAACTCGGCCTCAGGCTGTTTTTGCTTGACCGACAAGGGTCCCAGACACTAGATGCAACTGAGCCTTCTCTCAGGAGGGTTTGGGGTCCTGTAGTAATTCCAAGAGATAAGATCCCACTTCTCCATTTATTGGCTGTGAGGCCCCAGTTCCCCAACATGCCCAGAGCAAGTGGCTCAGGGCTTACTGTGAACTAAGCTGTGAAGTCATTGGAGCCCTGTGACATGTCATAATTATGCCCATTGGGCTGATGTGCAAACTGAAGTTAATGTTGCTTAAGTCACACAGAAGGTCAAACTCAGTTCACCTCACTTTTTTTTTTTAACCCCTGATTTTTGCTACCTTAGCTTCCCAAGTGCTGGGATTATAGCCATCTGTCACAATGTACTACCATGCTTGGTGAGTTTGCTTGCTTCTCAAGTTCTTACTTTATCTGGTTTATGACCTAAGTGAGACATTATTGATTAAGTGGCTGGCACAGAACCAGCTCCATGGGGGAGCTCCTTGCTCCATCACTTACCAGCACTGAAGTTATCCTCTGCTGGTGAGGGAAGGAGAGGGGATGAAGATGAGAGGGCAGTGCTAACAGTATGGTGGCCTCCCTGGAGGAGGCAGGTTCTGTAGCTGGAACTCAAAAGATGGAAGAGTCACGTGTGTTTTAGGTCTCCGGCTTGCTGCCTGTAGGATAGCTTCCGTTACTGCCTTTCCTCTGGGGTGAGGTAGCGCCTCTGAGGAAGGGAAGATATTTGTAAATAGCGAGCACGACCTCATCCGTGGGAGGGATGTCATCGTTAATAACTACAACATGACAGCTGCTGTTCAGGAACTGACCTTTCACCTTACCTTTCTATGGAGGAGTCCGTGTCAGTGAGGAGTGGGGAGGAGAGCAAGGGAAGGGCCATGCACCTCTTTCAAGCCTGTGTGGGGCTGTGGTAAGGAACGATGAACACTCTTTGAACCTTTCTCTTCTACTCTGAGTTGCTTTTTTGTTCTGCTCTGTGCCGCAGACCTGCCTTGTGTTCAGTAGATCCTACCTCTTAGCCTTCTGAGTGTTCAGATTCCATGTGCTTCTGCTTTTCTGCAACCCTCCCACCGCCACGTGCCCATGTTAAACGCTTTTCTTTACTGACTCAGTGACTTCACCTTCCAGACAAAACACTAATATCTCTCCAAGGCCACAGTGTTAAGAAAAAGCCAAGGGGCCTCTCAAGCCCCCTTGAAAGAACTAGTTCTTCTGCTAGAGGTTCTGCCTATGATCTTTGCGGCAAAAGAGAGAAAGGTCAAGTTCGGGAGTTAACAGTTTCTGGGCACCTACAGTTTATGAGGAGTTCCTCACTGGATGTTGCTGGATGCTGACACTGTAGTCTGAAAGGCTACCTGGTTCTCTTGTGTGCTGAGCAAGTTAAAGCCCCGGGAGTTGCAAAGTGGTTCTCAAGTCCTCCATCCTCCATCCCCCACCCCCCACCCCCCCTTTTTTTTTTTTTTTGGTAATCCAGAGTGTTTAAGTGACATCAAAAGCTGATTAGAGGGACAGCTGCAGTTTTAGTTGGACCTCTAGGAGTCTTGCAGGCTCACCCTGGCCTGATGGGGATCCTCCCTGAGCCTACAACCTGAGAGTTCTAGCCCACAGTGGCCACGGACACAGTCTTCCTCCCAGCCCACTCCTAACAGTAGGTCAGGAGTTGGAGTGGATGCTCGGCAGTAGGGAGGGCAGGAAAGGCAGTGAGGTGTGAGAGCAGGAAACAATATCCCCTTGAGAGAGGGCTGCAGGCGAGGGCTAAGGCTGTCAGATTTGGCACGACCCAGAGCTGTCAGGGCACAGATGCACTGTCCTGGTGATAGAGCGTGTCTGTAAAATGAAAGAGCTAGGAAATCTGGGCTTTTGTTTCAGCCTGCAGTGTAATTGGGAAAGCCCCAAACCCCTGAGTCTCCTCACCCCCCAGTTTGTATTAGTAAAAATCTTCCAGCTCTAATCCAAAGAGACACCCTCCCCTCTCCTCACTTCCTCTTCTTTCTCCTACCTGGAGCCCGGCCCCTCCTCCTTAGCTCCAGCTGCTCTCACACCTGTGCCCTCAGCCCTGCTCTGACTCAGACAGTCCTGACCCTGAGGTTCAAGGTGGTGTCCTGAGTGGTTTTGTCCCATAAACTCATTTGATCTGTATGGTGTCCACCTGTTCTTCTGCGTGACCCATCCGTGGCTTTGGAAATCTTGGAACTACAGGGATCCTTCCAAGAAAGGAGTAGTGAGTCCTAAGCAGGGCAAGGCTCCACAGCCAGGTGGCTAGAGTCTGGTGAACAGAGACAGCTAGTCTCCCTGCCCCTTTCTTGCAGCTCATCCCTCTGGCTAGGGATGCTTCGTCCTTCCAAGCTGCCCATGCTCAGACGCCCTTTGGTGGGGAACATTTGCCAGAAAGGTTCAGATACCCACCAAGACCACTTGGCATCACTTCCAGAGCCTCCTACTGAGTCCACTCCGGGTAAGGAAATCATCTGCTTGGCCATGGAGCTGTAACGGGCTGACATACAGCTGTCTGTACCTTGCCCCTTGAGTCCTTTCAACTTCCTAGTGCAATTTAGTGGTCGGAGCTCCCTTAAGACATCTTTCTAGGAGCTGAGCGTGGTAGCCCCATGCCTTTAATTTCAGCACTCTGGAGGTAGAGGCTCTGTATTTCTTTGAGTTCAAGGCCAGCCTGGTCTACAGAGTGAGTTGCAGGACATCACAACTATACAATGTGGCCCTGTTGCAAACAAAACAAAAGCAAAATAAAGCAACAAAGAGTATTGCTAGGTAGCCCAGGCTCAGCTCAGACTGGCTACAATTCCCCTGCTTCAGCCTCCCAATGCTAGGATTCATCACCATACCCCAATTTATGTGCCATGCATCTTTTTGAAGCCTGATTTCTATGAGACAGAATGCCACTTTTACAAACGAGGAAACTGAAGCTCACGGAAATTAAGTGCAGTGTGATTTGTCTTGTGTGCTTGGCCCTTTAAAGGATCCTCAGTTGCCACTCAACTGGCCCTTTGGGAGCTCTTAGCCGTTAGAACTGCTTGACCCTATGACCTTCCGTGTCAGTTGCTTCTTGGATTTCTGGGAACAGGAGAAGATATAAAAAGCCAGCAGAGGCTGAGAGAGATTGAGTAGGGTTAGAAAAGGGAAGGCAGTTGGTGCAGTAAGGGGATTGAGCAGGGTGAAAAGAGAAGGCAGTTGAGCCAGAGAAGATATTCTTAGGAGATAGAAGAACCCGCAAAGTAGCAAAAGACAAGCTACAGTTAAGTGGCAGGTCCAAGGTCACAGAGCTAGAAGTGGCGAGGAATGAATGCTCTAACGGAATGACTGAATGAGGGCTTATGAACGCCCTCGGGGCAGACGTCTGAGGAGCACGGCGAGTGAAGGCGGTGCACAAAGCCAGAGGCCGGGTCGCGGGAAAGTTGGTTCCACTCAGGCCTTCGGCACGGGAGGGCCCAAGGGAGCGCAGGCTCCCAGAGGCACAGCCGGGTTCTGCCCCACCCAACGGGCCGCCCCGCCCCCGCTCCGCCCCCGGCCCGCCCCGCCCGGGACCACAGACGGCGCCCGGCGGCGGCGCGAACGGCAGCGCCGAGCGTGGCTCTGGGCTGGGTGCCTGCCGCGACTTCCCGCCCAAGGCCGGCCGGCGCGGGGCCCGCAGCGCAGGCGGCGCGGAGGATGCAGCCGCGGCTCCGGGTGGCGGCCGCCAGAAGCTTGGCGCTCTGAAGGTAGGAGCTCGCCTGCCCGGCGGGCGCGGAAACTTGGGCCGAGTTTGCGGACGGCGCGTGGGCAAGGGGCGGGTGGCGGTGCCCCAGGGCGCCCCTACCGGCTGGTCCCGGGACGGAGCGCGGGGTCGGGGCCCTGGTGCTGAGGACTGGGGCGGTCAGGCTGCGGGGCCCGGTCGCACCGCTGCCCAGACTTTGCCAGGACTTGGATGCTCCCTGGGCCTGGTAGAGCCCCGGAGCCCCAGCAGTGCCTGGGCGTAGGACTGGCAAAGAGTCAGGCGGATCCCTCGGGCCTCTCGCGGGACCCGGCTCACGCGGATTGCCGGGCGCCGATTCGGGGTGGGGGTGGGGATTGGGATTGGTGGCAGGCGCTGAGGTGCCGCGGGGCCGTGGACGAGCCCTGTTGGAACAGGACGCCTGTGGTTTTCTAGCCACCGCTTGAGTCATTCTCTGGCTGTAGCCCAGGCTGGCGGGATCGCCCCGAAGGATGTGGTTGCCTGGACTTTGCGGCTGGATTGCTCCCCCCCCCCCCCCGCCCCGACCTCACTGCAGTCTGCGGCCGTCGATCCGTGGGGCTCCGAGTGCGAACCTCTTGGCTTTCCCATGTGTGCCTGAACTGAGCACAGTTGGGCGGTGTGTGTGTACGTGTGGGGGGATGTGTGCACATTTAGGCCGTGCACGTATGATCAGGAACGGCTTTGCATGCGTGGCGGCAGTCTGTATGTCAGCCTCCTGGGGTGCACGTGCGTCGCAGAGCCGCGGACTGAGACTTGGGGACACCCGGAAGCCTGCTGTGTCGGTGGGTCACCAGTTTCATACCGAGGCTGCCTGTGGGCCGCAGCTACTCTGGTCACAGGCCGGGCCGGGAGAGGGAAATTTAGTGGTGACCCCTTCTCTCAAACTGGGAGGTGTGGGCCACCCCGTGTTGGGGGCCTCAGCTGGCAGAGAGTTTTTAGAAGACCGAGTCTGTTAGAGCAGAGCTAATACTGATGCTGCAACTTGCCTGGGGTCGCGCTCTTCTCGAGGCCCCAAGGATGGGACTAGGAAATGGGGATGGTCCCCTGGAGTTTGTCTCTCGGTGGGAAGGAGCAGAAGTGGTAGGTGTTTGGCCCCGTCCTGCTTCTGGCTGAGGTTAGAAGTCGAGTAAGAACTAGTAGAACTTGACATCCCCCGGAAGGATTGCCTGTGGTCCTACCTTCTCCAAGCACCCGAGGTCACCCCGTGTCCCGGAAACAAGGCACCATCATTTTGGCTGCTGTCTTAAGCGGGGCGGGGCCTCCACCGAGGGAGCTTTCCTCCCCACTGGCAGGACATAATGTTACCTTCACACCTTTCGGAGACTTAAGCTGGCTTTTTGGAGCCCTCCTACAAAGACTCCTGAGGGTCCCAGGTGGCTGGGTCTCAGGAAGTCTCCAGGGCAAAGGGCATGGGTTGGGCTGAGCCCTGGAGAGAAGGGCTCTTGAGACAGATGGTTAGAGCAGGTCCCCAGGAGCATTGGTGGAGGTAGGACCTGAGCCAGCCCTTAATTAACCCAGATCTCCCCAAGGAGAGAGTAGGCTGGGTACCCTCTGAACCATGCAAGCCTGTGGCAAACAGAGGCGGGTGGATCGCTGTTCAAGGCCAGCTTGGTCTGCCTACTGAGCTTCAGGGCAGCTAGAGATAAACGGTGACCCAGTCAGAAAGAAAAACAAAACAAAAACAGTAAAACCAACCATATAAGCATACAGCAGTGCAGGATGGGGTCTTTCCACATAGATACAGGTCCCTGTCTAGAGGGCCCCTGTTGCCATCTGCTGGGGTGGGAATAAGCTTAGGCCAGACTACCTGTTATGTTTTCTTGTCCCCTTGCTGATCTAACTCTGAGCCCCAATCGTCATTTGGCTACTGTTGAGAAAGATGAAAGCTGGTCCGTGTTTTCTGGTGACAGAAGCATGTGACACTTGACCTGTGGCCTACTCATAGGAATATTGATCCCATTTGCCCTTTTCTAAGCTGCTGCTGGGAGGTTTAGGAGGTGGGATTGCTCACTGGAGGAAGGAGAGGAGGGCTATTGATAACCCCAGCCGACAAGACTCAGATGAGCCACCTGTAAGTTGTTGGATGCCTGTGGTCACCGTGGACGTGGATGGATCCTCACCTGCCTTTGGACTGTCTCTATGCTGCATTCTTTTCCTTTAGATAGAACCTAGATTTATTAAGGAAAGGTACGGAAGAACAGAGTGGGAAAGGCTCCAGGGAAAGAATACCTGTGTTGTTTTTTTCCAGCACTTACTTAGTCTGTCCATCAGGAAAGTACAGTGGAAGTGGTTGCCAGCTAGGACTCTGGGCCCTTGGGGCCTCCCACCTCCCCAGGCACACCCTCCCTCTTTCCATGTATCATGTGCACAAGGCCTGGAGATTAACACAGACACTCCTACCCTGAGCCAGAGACCTTCCTGTTGACACCACAGCACCACCTGCTGGTCAGCTTCGGCCCTCCTGCTGAGCTGACCCAATTTGGGTAGAACTGGAGAGTTACCCAGATACCTCTTGGGAGGGGACTGCCCTGTCCATTCAAGACTAATTTGATTCTGGTTTTGGGACCTGGCTTTGAGGTTTTGATTTTTGGTAAGGCAAGCAGGTAAAGTGTATAAAGTGTTAGAAGGAATCAGAATTTGTAGACAGTGCTGGGATTCCATGTCTTGGCTGTAGGAGAATGTTGATACCTGTGGCGTCCTGGAATAGAAACGAGTAGAGACAGACGGCCCACTTTTTATGCCATCCCTTTCACCAGTGACTTTGGGATAGATAGGTCTTTCCTGGGAAGGCAGAGCAGGGAGACAAATCAACCGATACCCCTAGCATTGCCCAGAACCCCAGGGGGTCCTATTGTGGAGTGTAGACTCATATGTAAGGACACAGCACACGTTTTTGTTCAGTACATTAAAAACTACTACTACAGCTGGCCAGTCAGTGGTGATGCACACCTTTGATCCCAGCATTTGGGAGGCAGAGGCAGGCAGATCTCTATAAACTCAAGACCAGTCTAGAGAGCGAGTTCCAGGACAGCCAAGGCTACACAGAGAAACCTTTCTGTTTTGAAAAACAAAACAAGAACCTACCAAGCCAAACAAACTACAACCAGAAACAACAACAACCAAAAAAGCATCTGTGGCTTCTCCATTCGGTCTGAGCTGAGTATTGCTAAGGGCCAGAGTCTCGGGTAGCCATGAGTCAGAGTGGCGTCTCCGTGGTTCCATGCAGCCTGTGCTCTGACCACCTTTGCCTCTCTTCTCTCCTAGGTCAGCAAGTCAAGTAGCAGCGGTTCAGGAGGGCTTGACACCTCTACAGTAATGGCAGAGAAGCGGCCCCTAGGGCCTCTGGGGCCTGTGATGTACGGCAAGCTGCCTCGCCTGGAGCCGGACCCCGGGCCAGGACACAGCCTGCCCCTTTCTGCTGGTAGCCAGGACTCCTGCAATTACAAGGGTGCATACTTCTCTTGCCCCATAGGGGGCACTTCCAAGTCAGGATCTGAAAGGTTGGCATACCCATACCCACCCTTGTACCCCACTGGTGTAGCAGGATCCCCACTCCGGACTGACAACCTGTTGACAAACTGCCTGCTCTACCGCCCTCCGACAGAAGGCTCTGAAAAGATACAAGACTCCAGCGAGCTCCTGCCCTTTGGTCCCCAGGCTCATGCATACCCAGGCCCACCACTGGCAGCGCCCAAGCCTGTTTACCGCAGCCCTTTGTGTTATGGACTCTCCACTTGCCTAGGGGATGGGGGAACCAAGAGACCATTGGATGTTGACTGGACACTGGTGGCTGGGCCCCTGTTGCCCTCTGCTGATCCACCCTGTTCTCTAGCTACAGCTCCTGGCAAGGGCCAATCCCTGGATGGGACGTTCTTGCGTGGGCTACCAACTGGGGCACCTGGCAAAGATTCCTCCCTAACTTTTTCGCCATGCCAGGCATTGTTGGAGAAATATCGAACCATCCAGAGCACGGGCTTCCTGGCTTCCAAATACACTGGTTCTTATTCTGGGGATCCCAAGCAAGCAATGTCTGAGGGGCCCTCCAGCCCTTGGACCCAGCTCGCCCAGCCCCTAGGACCACCTTGCCAAGATGCAGTGCCAGCCCACTACCCCCTGCCTCCACCACAGGCCTTGCCCTGCCCTCCATCTTGTCGTCACCCGGAGAAGCAGGGAAGCTATGGCTCTCTGCTCCCACTGCCACCTGTAGGTGTCCACAAGGGGGCTTCGTACCAAACTGGTGGGCTGGGCAGCCCCTACCTGAGGCAACAGCCATCCCAGAACCCCTACATGCCCTCTGGGGTAGATACCTATTCCTACTCCCCTGCACCCCTCCCGGCACCCTCACCAGGACTCAAGCTGGACCCCCCTCTTGCTCCAAGGTGCCCGCTGGACTTTGTCCCTCCAACTCTGGGTTTTCCTTATGCCAGGGATGATCTCTCTCTGTATGGGGCATCCCCAGGGCTTGGGGGAACACCACCTTCCCATTCCCAGAACAGTGTGCAGCCTGTGCCACAGCCCAGTGCCTTCCAGCGAACATGCCAGCCTTTGCCAGCCAGCCAGTCATGCTCTGAGCCTGTGAGACCTGCAGAGAAGCCAACACCGGAAGCTCAAGAGAAGATATGGCTGCCCAGCTGCAGGAAAGAGAAGCTCCAGCCCAGGCCCGGTGAGCGTCCAGGGGTGCCTATTGTCATCCGAGACAGTCCAGTTCCCCGCACCTCACCAGCATTGCATCCTTGTGCCAAGGAGCGCCAGTCTCTTCCCCAGAAGGGGGTCAAGCCTCCCAGCTCTCCACCAATGCCTGTGATTGACAATGTTTTCAGTCTGGCCCCTTACCGTGACTACTTGGATGTGCAGACACCCGAGCCCACAGCTGAGCAGGACACTGCTGCAGCCACCAGTAAGAGCCAAGACAAAGATTGCAAGGAGACCTTGCCTGTGCAGGATGGAACCTCCAGGTCTCACTCCTCTCTTCGTGAGGAGGTGGCTCTGGACTTGAGTGTGAAGAAGTCTGTGGCAGAGGCTGTCCCTGTCGAAGTCCCTAGTCCTGAGGTGCATAAGCCCACTGAAGCTGTGGACAGGCCAGGTATGGAAAATACAGTGTCGGGTCTGCCAGGCCTAAAAAAGATGGTCACAGAAATAGCTGAAGTGACTACAGAAGCCACACCAAGGACCAACTTCCACAGCTCTGTGGCTTTCATGTTTCGGAAGTTCAAGATACTCCGTCCTGCACCCTTACCTGCAGCTGTTGTCCCCGCCCCACCCACCCCAGCTCCTGCCCCTGCACAGCCTGCGCCCCACCCCTCATCTGTGCCCATGGGATTGCAGATTCTCACTCAGCCTTTGCCAGTGGCGTGCTTCAACCTGGCCCTGCCTAGCCCACCGGCCATAGCGGTGGCCTCCCCGGCCCCAGCCTCTGCTCCAGCGCCATCACCAGCTCCCGCTTCTGCTCCAGCCTCAGGCCCTGCTCCGGTCTCTGCGCAAGTTTCCACTGCGGCTCCAGCCGACTCCCCAGAACAGCACTTTACAGAGCTGCACACGTCCCTCTGCGATGCCATCTCAGGCTCGGTGGCCCACTCTCCACCGGAGAAGTTGCGTGAGTGGCTGGAGACAACTGGGCCGTGGGGCCGGGCTGCGTGGCAGGACTGCCAGGGTGTGCAGGGCCTGCTGGGCAAGCTGCTGTCCCAGCTGCAGAAGTTTGTGTGCACACAGCAGTGCCCCTTCCCTCACGTGGTGCGGGCTGGTGCCATCTTTGTGCCCATCCATCTGGTGAAGGAGCGTCTCTTTCCAAAGCTGCCGCCCGCCTCCGTGGACCATGTGCTGCAGGAGCACCGCGTGGAGCTGCGGCCCACTACTCTGTCAGAGGAGCGTGCGCTTCGAGAGCGGGCCCTGCATGGCTGCACCTCACGCATGCTGAAGCTGCTGGCGCTGCGCCAGCTGCCTGACATCTACCCTGACCTGCTGGGCCTGCAGTGGCATGACTGGGTGCGCCGCCAGCTGGGTGAGCATGGGGCAGCCCTGTAGCCACTGGAGCTGTGTGAGCGAGTGCCAGGTGTGTGGACTGCTTGTATGGTCGACGAGCAAGGGGCTGAATGCTTACAGGGACTTACCGGGGGCAAGGATTGGGATTCCAGGGTCTCCCGGGCTTCCCTTGCCCTTTTGATTCTGTAGGCAACAGTGAGACCTAATTGCATGGAAATGTTCTTGGCCCCCTCTTGGAAATCCTGTCTTAGTTAGGGTTTCATTGCTGTGAAGAGACACCATGACCAAGGCAGTCTGTCATCATGGCGGGAAGCATGGCTGCATGAGGTAGGCATGTTGCTGGAGAATCGAGAGCTCTACGTCTTGATAGATAGGCAGCCAGAAGGAGATTGTTGCATGGGGGGTAGCTTGGGCATAGGAGACCCAAAGCCTGTCGAGGCCACACCTCCCAATAGTGCCCCGCTTTAGGGGCCAAGTGTTGAAACACCAGTCTATGGGGTCTATGGGCGCCATACCTATTCAAACCACCATAGCCTCTGTATCTGTTTGTACCTTCTGTGTCGTGTGAAGGCCAGGTACATTTCCATCTGAAGTTTTTTCTTCTGATGTCTGAGCACTAGCTCTAAAACACCCACCATATGCTGTCCACTGTCACCTGGACCCCTGCTTTGTATTCATCCCAACCCACAGGCCTCAGCTTTGCTGTGAGCTTAATTCCCGCCTGCAGCCTTTGCAGTCCAGGTGAAGCATCTTTGTTGACTTTCCATGCCCAGGATCTGACAGGACCTCATGCTCTTTGCCATGTAAACACTATTACCTTTGAATGTACTTTTTCTCTGGTCTCCTGGACCTGCGTGCACCCGTTGTACCCTGAATTGGAGAACTGTTTGTGGTTTTGGTTTTGGAAGGACCTCATTATATAAGCCAGAGTATCCTCAAACTTAAAATGCTCCTGCCTCTCTAGTACCTGATTTATGGGTAAGTGCCCCATGCTCAGCTATGGAGCTTAAAAAAAAAAAAAAGTTCTAGAAGACAAAAATGCTGCAGTGTTGTGTGGTTTTTTTGGTGCCATGACAAGGAGGGGGTGGTAGACCTGTTTCTGTGTCAGTAAACTGACTTCTGGATTTTTGGCCCTTTCTCAAGTCTTTCCTGCCTACTTGACTTGTCACACATGCCTGCCACCCAGCTCCTTGCCCAGAAATTTTCCCGAGCATTGTATTCTGCTTCCTTAACTAGCTGAGTACTCTGCCATGTACAGCCCTGCTCAGGGTGGAGGAGTCCTGAGGCAGAGTACTGCCATGGAGCAGTACTGCCATGGCCCATGTTCTTGATTCTTGAGCCCTGTCTGGGGCCAGAGGGTCAGGTTTGTTTTCCTGGTCTTGCCTGCTTGTTACAGGTCTGATTCTAACAGTGAAAACTCCACTGCCTCCCACTGCTTAGGTTTGAAGACCCTTGTTCCCCAGCTAGAGCAGCGGTTCTCAGCCTGGGTTGGCGACCCCTTTAGGGACCCTTTCACAGGGGTGACATGTCTGGTTTGCTCCTGTCTGGGTTCCTGTGTTCCCCTGTCAGCCCAGCAGCCTGGTCTCTGGTTCTTGCCCTGGGGACATTGTGGCAGAAAGATGATGGCTCTTTTGCATGAGAGAGCCTTTTCTTTCCTCAAGTTACTCATCTGTATGGTAAGATGACCCACCAGTGCTTCCCGGCCTGCAAGCCTCCTTTCCTCTCCTTGTTCCCAAGTAGACTCTTCTGAGCTCTATGTTGATTGGGTAGAGAGCCCCGGCGCCCCTTGGGGAGGAGCGCGTCTTCTCAGCGAGCTCCCGTTGGTCTGGCCAGTGGGCTGTTTGTGCTGCGGTGACCCTGCAGGGCAAGGAGAAGCACGGTTGTAGGCAACTTGGAGACGAGACGCGGGACCTCAAAGGTTGGATTTTGCAGTCTGACTTTGCTTTCCTTTTGTAGGTCGCTTTGACATGGAGGCCAGAACTTTATCCCCATCAGAACCCACGGTGACCAGAGATGAGCCTGAAAGCCAGCAAGCCCTGACTAGGAAGTCACCAGCCCCCAAGGTCAAGAAGCCAGGGAGGAAACCACCAACACCTGGCCCTGAGAAAGCAGAGACAACCACTGATCCTTCACCTCCCCCTGGTGCCAGTACCAGCCCACCGGGCCCCACCCTGAGGGCACGCTTCCGCAGCTTGTTGGAAAACGCCTGGCTCAATGGTGTGGCACTTCCTACTTGGGGCCACAAGGCTTCAGGACCAGACCGGCCTTCGCCTCACCCCCAGCTTCTGGGCAGCCAGAGCCATCATCTGTAGCCCTGGTTGCTAGGGCTGTTGGGACAACCAACCATCTGGGGACCACTATGTGCCTGTCCTGACATCCAGCTGTCCAGGGCTAGGAGTGGATATGAGGGCTGGGCCCACCTAGCTGGGCAGAGACTTCCTGACCTTTTGACTTGAGGTCTTTGTTAGAAAGGATTCCTTCCCTTGAGAAAACCCGTGGGCATTGGAGCCAGTCTGACCTGGCTTTGGATCCTGGCTGCTGTGTTCCTTGTTGCGTGTCCTGGGCAAACATGTCACCTCTCATGAGTCCTTGTTCCCTGTTTGTAGAATAAGACAACACAGCCTACCTCACAAAGGTTGTTGTGGGGATGGTGTCTGGCATACACCTGTTATGCTTTGGTTTGCTTCTTGTCCAGGACAGGCCTTTGACTTCCGTCAGGCTGTAGGATAATGAGGCTGAGGCTGGCAGAAGCTTCTTGTCAAGTCTTCATGCGCCTTGGGACCTGGTTACCTTAAAATACCTATGTGTATGGTTCGCACACACTTCCCCCGTCCCCTGCTGGTGCAGGGACCTGGCCTGGCGCTGGCCTGAAGACCCTCTGTCTGCTCTGGATTCATATCAGTGGCCTACCTGGGTTGCATCTCACCCCAGTAGGGTTGTGTAGCATTGTATTCTTCTAGAGCCAAGCAGCTCCAGGGATGATCCAGCAGGCTGTGAGCTCAATGCTGGGAGGTGTCTGGAGGTCTGCACTGGGCACTCTTGGCATTTCCCAGTGCTCTTGGGGCTACCTCCCTGCAGGGGCTGGCAAGATGGGGCTCCTGCCTTGTTTAACGGTGTTGATGAGAATGGCCCTGGGGGCCAGCTATTAAAGAGCATTTGGGCTGTTTTTAGAACTGAGATCTAGCTTGTATCTGAGGGGTTGTGGGTTAAAGTTGCCTATCACTCTTCACCATAGGCCGTCCTTGTTCCTGTGCAAGATGTACTAATGGCTTGTGGTACTCTGCTGTGGTCCTACAGGCGGCCTCACGCCTACCGGCTAGCCACTCCACCCAGAGACTGGTTTTGTCTGCCTCCCAGGACTGAGGATGTGCCCGTTAGGGTCTGGAGCTGACGACCTTCCCTGTGCATTCCATCAGCTTCACCTGTTGAGAATGTTCTTGGCCTGAAGCAGCTCCCTGCCCACCTCTATTTTCCTGAACACGGCTTCCCTACACCTGTGCTGGAGCCAGTCCACCAGAGCTCAGCAGGGCTGTATGCAGCTAGAGCCTGTGCCCTGCTCTAGTGGCTACCTGAATTAGCTTGGCCTTGAGCCTGGATTTGATGTGGCAGCTGCCATTGCCTTTGTGCAGGCTTAGAAATTCTATAATGCGTGAATCAGTAACACCATGGGCAGAGTGTTTTAATGAGGATTGTTTGGTTTCATGGGTTTTGCTTTTAGGTGGGGTCTCTATAGTTCCAGTGGGCCTAAAACAATCTTCCTTCTCCAGCTTCCCTAGTCTGGGTGTGTGTGTATGTGTGTATTACCACACTTGGGTTTGTATGGTGGTTCAAGAGGTGTACGGCTGAGCAGCCACATCTGGTGATAGCATTCTTGGCAGAATTCTGAGGCAGATCTGGGCACCACATGGCAAGAGAATACATGCATGTGTCTTCCAGACAGCTTACAGAGCCGTGGGTGTTAGGCCATGAGGCTCCACCTGATGATTTTAATCTTAATCACCTCAAACACACCACCTCTGAGCACAATAGCTGGATTAAGTTCCCATCTTCCCCTCACAATGGGGATTAAATTTTAACATGTGAACACTTGAGGGGGTCACGTGGAAACTACATCTAGGTCCTGCTCCTGGCCTTTAAAATGGGTGGGAATAGGAACTGTGACACCATCATTCCAGCAACAGCCAGGAGAGGGGTGTCAGTAACTCTGCCTTGACTCTCGTTCCCTTGTTAGGTGACAGTGCCATCATTTTACAAGTCCTTCGTTTTAAACTAGTTTCACAGGCTCCTGAGTGAGTCCATCCCTAGCGCCACAGGCTAGGCCCACACGTCACCCATCTGATGCAAGGAGGGGCTCAGGTCCCTGAGTCTCTAGTGTGAGGAAACCTGGTATTAAAGCCCAAGACTGAGGCCAAGGGACTCAGCAGCCAGTTCTGCTGGGAAGCAAGAGTCTGCAGGGTGAGTGGAGGTACAGTTCTCTCAAGTTGTGGTCTGGTGGAGAGGAGCGGGGATAGTAGTGAAATTTTTGTCTTGGTAACCTGCATATGCCTTTCCTGGTTTGCTGAAGAGTTGGGCTAGGCCGCTGACTGCCAGCCAAGCGGCCGGGAGCGTGGCCTGAGTGCTTTGGTTTCCTTGCTGGAAATGGATGATGCTTCCAGCCCCACCTGTCAACCTCAGCTGAGGTAGAGCTACAGGGAGGGGGTCAGTGAAGCCAGCCAGCAAGTTCTGGCGTTTTGCCAGCTGCTGTTTTTCATGCTCTTTGGGCCTCTTCCCTGGCTGCCACCTTCAGACACTGACAGTGCAGCCTTCAGGGCCCCTGTTTATTCGGCAGGAAGGGATGTAGAGCCAATCCTTTCTAGCTGGCCAGGATGTCTGTGCTAGGCTGAGGTTGGCTGGTAGGGTTCCTTGTGTGGCCTGGACATAAATCCTTGGGTAAAGATGTGATGACCCTGTCTCTCGAGGCTGAGCTATGCAGTCGAAGCAACTCCCAGCAGTCCCAGGCAGAGAAGTGCCATACTTAAAGGAATTGGCATTCACAGTGGCTCCCATTTCCTGTCCGGTATCCTCTAACCAGACCCCTTCAGGGTCATGGATACTTAAGACAGCCAAGGGATTGGTGTATCTGTCACTTCGGGATCTGCATGGAGAATTAGCTGTGCATTCAGGGAATTGCCAGGCCTCTTCACACCCCCAGGGATAGGGAAGCCACCTCTTTTAGGAATCTGATCTGAAAGTGGTTGTACATTTAAAGAGAGGCAGGTCTGGGTGCTCAGTCCATTCCTTCTCTCAAAGCTCCCCCCCCCCTTTTTTCTTTTCAGCTGGCTTACAGGCCCGAAGTTTGGGGTGGGTGGTCTGTGTCTCTTCTCACTGGGTCAGTCCTATCCCCAAAGGATGTCCAGCTCCAGACCTGGCCTGTACCTCTTCATGCCTTCAAGTTGAAGGCTGTGTCTTCATCATCCATTTCCAGCAGGGAAACCAAAGCACTCAGGTCATGCAAAGTGGATCAACGTGGTTTGACTAGAATCATGCTTCCCACACCTCACTCTCATGGTCTGTCTGCTAAGTTCCCTACCTCACTGGGTTTCCCAGTTCTCCTGTAGTTTGGGGAGCCTTTGGGCTGTTGAGTCAGCCTTGGTCCAAGACCTCCGTGGCTAGGCCAGCTAACCACGAAACGTAGATTCTGTAACTTTTTGAGTGGCTGAGTTGCTGCATGCAGCTTCTCTCTAGACTGGTGCTAAGCCTTTCTCTGTCTTGAGTCTCCTGTGGTCCCTTCCTCCCCCCTGATGCTAATTAGGTAAGCTGATATCTGGAGCTGAAAGCAACCTCTCATGCCAACTTCTGTTTCTCACTGAAGGCCCAGAGCCAAGCATCTTTCGAAGGCTACCACCTCCCTCAGAGGCCGCCACCTTCAGCCCCCCAGGACCAGCTCTGTCCCTTGCTGTTTTCATGGTAGAAGCTCTGGCCCCCTCCCTAGGATGAAAGCTTGTAGGCCGTGCTTCCCTATGCTCTGACCTGAGGCACTGTGAGATCACTAGGGGCTGTCTTGAATGGACCCCACATAAGGGCTCAGTGTACAATAGCATGTTGAATACTTACCCTGGCTCTGGCTGCATGTTCTATGTCTACATGCTGGCTCTTGGTCTCATCCTAAGTGTGGCCCCATTTCATGGGGAGTTTGTGGTGGCAGCAGGCCCTGGCGGAACCTTCCATGGGACCTGACTACTGTTCTGGCCCACTTGTGCGTGTTCAGGGAGACTGTGGACTTGGCCTTATGTGTGAAGGAAACCACTGTCCACCTCCGGGAGAGGCGGGAGCTGAGGGAATGTGAAGCCCCAGACAGGAACTGGGTGTGGAACCATGGACTTGGGAGTGAGTGTTTTCTCACGTTTTATGCAGTGTGGAGGTGGGATAAGGCAGGAGCTTGAAGAAAGTCCCTGGTTTGCCCTTTCTGCTCTGACCTGCAGCCTTGCTCCCCATTCAGAGGTACTGTCTGAAAGCCCTGGGTGAGGTGAGGTGAGGTGAGGTGACTTAGGAGAGGTATGGGGTTTGCTGCTTGGTGAAGGGGAGAGCGGCACAAAGGGCAGCCTGGGGTTGTAGGAAAGAGACAAAAGCTAGGAATAATACCTGGAGCCCACGGGCAGTGTTGGTGTACACCTTTAATCAGCACTTGGGAGGCGGAGGCAGGTGGAGCTCGAGGCCAACCTGGTCTACAGAGCAAGTTCTAGGACCAGCCATGGCTACATAGAGAAAACCCATCTTGAAACAATATCGATATAATGGAGGATGGTAGCATGTGTTTGTAATGCTACATTTTGGAGGCTTAGGCAGGAGGACCACTGAAAATTTGAGGCCAGCTTGCTTGGTCTACATGGTGAGAAACTGTCACAGATAATTGCCATCTACCAAGGTGGAGGACAAGCAGGAAGAAAGGAGTTGACATCTGGGGCCTTTTCAAGGGCCTGGAGTGGTCCTTGACAGCATCCTTACATTGTGGGGAGCTCCCCTTGGCACATCTCTGTTGTCTCCCAGTTCTCCCCTTCTGGTATTGTTACTCTAGCCCATGTCTAGCACTGAAATGGCTAGAGGAGGAGTCATCTTGAGCACCCCTTGGCTCTACAAGGCAAGGTGGGTCTCTACAGCCCAGTGCTGTGGCAGTAACTCAGGAAGAGGTTTGGCAGATCACTGATGTCTCCTCCACATCATCTCGGAACCATGGTGATTAGCCTGGCAGAAGAAGAGCCTCTACATTTTGTGGGGTGCAGCCACTGCTGTGGTGGGGCTTCAGTCCTCCAGTGCAGGTCCTTTACCTTGGCGTCTGAACTGCGGTGGTGCCATGGGTCCAAACCCAAGCCCCATGTGGAAAGCATGCTATTCTAGCTGCCATGTGGAGAGAGCTCAGGTTCAGGTGCACAGCTGGCTGCTGCCCTTTATTTGAGTCAAGGTCTCAAAGGCTCAGCCTGCTTCTTAGGAAGAAGCCCTTGCCTGGCCAAACTCAACAGGACAAGGAGAAAAGTGATGAGCTGCGGGTTCAGCATGGACCCACGGCTGGGGCCTCTGCAGGCTCCAGAGCTGGAGTTGCCTGGAGGGAGCAGAATGGGAAGGTTCAGCGGGTTTTCCATCCTCAAAGCCCTCAGAGACTTATAGAAGTGGTGGTGGTTCTCAGGATACTCAGAGTCAGTGTTCCCTGGGGGCTCACAAGAAGGGTAAGAGCAGACATGGCCCCGCAGTGCTGTGTGCAGGAGGGAAGGCCAGAGGGGCAGAAAGCAAGGCTGGAGACAGCAGAGGGATGGAGGACATGAACAGAGGGAGAGGCACTGACCAAGGACTGGGCTGAGCAGCTCTAACTGGAGGCCCTCAGTTTCCTGCAGGAAGCCCAGGGCTTGGCGCATGTAGTCTTGAATGATGGCCTGGGCTGGTGCAGCTCCAAAGAAGGCAGCTTGCACTCTGACAGACAGTGGCTCCTGCCTGGGAGGATCATTACAGGCTTCAGGGAGCTGGAGAGATGCAGAGAAGCCCTTCTGTCCAGCCCCAGGACCCACCCTTTCTAAACCGAAGACTCACTGGAACTCCACCACCACCACTTGACCGAAGTTCTGCAGAGGCTGGAGGGCTAAGGTTAGCTGAGATCAGGAGAAACAATACGTGTCATGTCACAGCATTAGCCTAGTCTAGCCACAAAC